CCATGACCAAGTGGGCTTTATCCCAGGAGCACAAGGATGATTCAACATCAGAAAATCAATTAATGTAATCCATCACATCAACCGATAGAAGAATAAAAATCACATAATCATATCAATAGATGCAGAGAGGGCATTCGACAAAGTTCAACACCCATTTATGTTTAAGGCCCTCGAAATCCTCGGAATAGAAGGAACATACCTCAACATGATAAAAGTCATGTATGACAAACCCACAACCAATATTACCCTCAATGGAGAAAAGCTGAAAGCCTTTCCTTTGAGATTAGGAACAAGACAAGGGTGTCCACTATCACCACTGCTCTTCAACATAGCATTGGAAGTTCTAGCCAGACCAATAAGACAGGAAAAAGATACAAGGAATCCAAATAGGGAAAGAGGAAGTAAAACTGTCCTTATTTGCAGATGCTATGTTAATTTACATGGAAAAACCTAAAAGCTCCACAGAGGAACAAATCAAAACTATCCACCAGTTTAGCAAGGTAGCAGGATATAAAATCAACACACAGAAGTCAGAGGCTTTCTTATACACAAACAACCAATCAGAAGAATCAGAAATTTAAAAAAAAAAATCCCCTTTTCAATTAAAAAGAATCAAATACCTGGGAATCAACCTAACAAAAGAGGTAAAGAACTATACAAAGAAAATTACAAAACACTGTTAAAAGAAATACAAGACGACACCATAAAATGGAAAGACATTCCCTGTTCGTGGAATGGGAGAATTAACATCATCAAAATGGCCATCCTACCAAAAGTGATATACAGATTTAACGCCATCCCAATAAAAGTCTCAATGACATTCTTTAAAGAAATAGAAAAAATATTGATGAGATTCATATAGAACAGCAAAAGACCTCAAATAGCCAAAACTCTCATGACTAAGAAGAAAGAAAATAGAGGCAGTACAATCCCAAACTTCAAGCTATACTACAAAACCTTAATAATCAAAACCGCATGGTACTGGAACACGAACAACATACAGACCAGTGAATTTGAATAGAAACCCAGATATAAACCCACAGGTTTATGGACAGCTAATCTTTGACAAAGGAGCAAAGAAGTTACAATGGAACAAAGTTTGTTGAGCAAATGGTGCTGGGAAAACTGGGAAGCTACATGCAAAAAAATGAAACTAGATTACTACCTCACACATACACAAAAATCAACTCGAAGTGAATTAAAGACCTAGACATATAACAGAAACCATAAAATATCTGGAAGCAAAGATGGGCCAAACACTACACGACCTACACACTTCAACAACACTCAATGAAATGATAGTGAAGGCAAGGTAAATAGATGGGACTACATCAAGTTAAAGAGCTTCTGTACAGCAAAAGAGACATTTCAAAAAACAGACAGACATCCCACTGATTGATCACAAAGATATACAAAGAACTGATGAAACTCAACAAAAATAAACAACCCCATCAAAAAATGGGCAGAAGAGCTAAAAAGACACTTCTCCAAAGAGGAAATGCAGATGGCCAACAA